AATTAAAAAATAATAAGGGGAAAAGACAATTTGCTTCAGCAGAGAAACAGGGAAGCAGTTAATTTCTTTCTATAAAATGTCTAACTCTAACCCTTGCAATAAGAAAATTAAAAAGAAAACTTAGTCAACTTTAAAAAGAGAGAAAACTTGGAGGGTTATAGATGAAAATCAAATGTCTAACTATAATCTTTATTAATTTACACATATCTAAAATATATAAGGCAATATATTAATTTACAAAACAAGTTTACTCCAACTATCCAGGAATATCTTAAACACCAGCGTCTGTGATGAATTAAGCCACTATGTTGCAAAGAACTTCCCTGGGTTGTATCCATTAAAAAAAAGAAAAGAAAAAAAAAGAATTAAGCCACTATGAATCACCAAATTCCATTTTCCAGAGCACGTACCATCTACTAGATCTGTTACGATAAAGCACTTCTGAAATCCATACACAATGCTTTTGCTGGAAATCTCAACCCAAGCCATCAATGTCTGTTTAGGTGAGCAGAACTTCTTTTCATTCATTCATATATATATATATATATATATATATACATACATACACATATGCACACAGTGACACACTTTCTTTTTTTTTGAGATCTGGAAAAATTAGTTTTTGCATTTAACACTTGCACTTCATGATACCCCACACCCCTATCAGGAATAATGACTGAATCACTCCTATTTTTTTGTTTCACTTATTTGGTAAGATTGAATAAATATCCCAAAGTATCACCAGCTGAGCTTATTCCCATTGTTCCAGCCTATTATGTCTTTCCCAAAGAGCACCTTGTTGTTCAAAATAGTGTCTGAGAAAGAGTGCCCGGTAACAGGGGAGCCCAAACATGATGCTTTTGGGGGGAGCCCTGCTTGTGATCAGGCATATACAATACATACTTGAAGATAATTTTTAAGAGGGAAGACTGCCTGGTTTCTTCATGTCTTCTATAAGTGCTGTCTAAGCTTTGAGATTTGGATTAAAATACCCAAGTCTACTGCCATTTTCCTTTTGAAATCACAGGCAGACAGGAAACTGCCAAGACTTGCTTTTTAATTTTAATAGAAAATAAAATTAAAGTGGAAGACTTTCATTTTGAGACAAGGTCTCGCTCTGTCACCCAGGTTGGAGTGCAGTGTCATAATCACAACTCACTGCAGCCTTGACCTCCTGAGCTCAAAGATCTTGCATCAGCCTCCCCAGGAGCTGGGGCCACAGGCATGCACATCATTGCACCTGGTTAATTATTATTATTATTATTATTTTTTTTTGGTAGAGACAGGGTCTCACTATGTTGCCCAGGCTGGGCTCAAACTCCTGTGCTCAAGTGATCCTCCTACAGTGCTGGGATTATAGGCATAAGCCACCACACCTGACCCTACTTTCAACATAATACTACACTACTAAAGGTATAATCTTGCCAAAAAGCTACTCCAATGTTATCTATGTTATCTCTGCTAAACTTAAAAACTTTCTACTGGTGCTAGGCGTGGTGACTGATGCCTGTAATCTCATCACCAAGGCCAAGGCGGGTGAATCACCTGAGGTCAGGTGATCGGCCTGGCCAACATGGTGAAACCCCGTCTCTACTAAAAACTTACAAAAATTAGCCAGGTGTGGTGGTGCATGTAGTCTCAGCTACTCGGGAGGCTGAGGCAGGAGAATCACGTGCACCTGGGAGGCGGAGGTTGCAGTGAGTTGAGATCGTGCCATCGCACTCTGGTTTGGGAGACAAGAGTGAAACTCTGTCTCAAAACAAAACACTTTCTACTGCCTCCACTAGTGTGAAGAATAGAAAAATTCAGTGTCTACTGTGTCATTTCCAGGTTACTCTGATCTGCCTTTGTTTACCTCACTGGACCAATCCTTGGTTCTTCTTACTCTACCAGTGAGTCCCACTCCACCTTCTCCCCTCAGGGCACTCCAGTAGTTGGAGGCACTGCCACACTGGCACTACAACCTGGTTTGGCTATATTCCAACCATACTTGGCAGCTCAGCTTAGTCATCTCTTTCTCCCAAAAGCTTCGTTGATCACAGTCCCTTCCACACACAGACCCAGGAACAAATCTCTATAGTAGAACTCTTGTCTGTTTCATATACTACCACTACAAATACCTAAGGTTTACTGAGCATACGAGGCACTAAGACACTTCAAGCACTTAAAATTAAGTGCTTTACATAGATTGTCTTCTTTAAGCTCACAAGAAACCTATTAGGTAGGAAACATTCTTCAGATGGGAAAGGCGAGGCCCAAAGAAGTTACAATGCCAGGACGGGAACTCAGGCCATGTGGCTGAAGGGTCTGCATTCTTCCCTTATATAGCATCTTGCTGCTCAAAGGATTCTACACATGACCAGGGGCTTCCTGAGGGAGCACAACAGTGAGTGCTTACCAGATGCTTGCTGAGCATGATCAGAACACCTGAGAAGTCGTCAGCCACATAGAACACAGAATGCAAACTTGACTTCTAGTACTGTCCATTGAGTAATGCTGGTTTAACAGATGATCCCTAGAGCCCCCTTCCAGCAAAACAAACTAGCAAAAACAAAGCCCCCTTTTTTTCCCCAGAGATGTCCTTTATAGGTGCTAACATATTGCTTGCAAAACCAAAAACCAATTACTGAGTAATTAAGTGAGGCCTTTACCTAGTTTCAGTGACAGAAGCACACATAAACCTCACATTTACAGGCAGGAGCAAGAAAACCATTCCAAGATACACTAATCTAATTTGTTGTTGATGACAAAGAAAAATAATTGAAACAAGCCCTCTTTTTAATTTTCTAGCTTAACACTGATTTTCAAGGCCAGAAGGATTTATAATTCATTAAAAAAATTAGCACATATTCCAATTAACACACAAAAAAACTTCAGACTACAGGGAACCTAGAAGATATTTTGCCAAAAGGAAATCATAATAGCTAACATTTAGCTATTTTTTTTTTTTTTTTGAGACAGAGTCTCCTTCTGTTGCCAGGCTGGAGTGCAGTGACCGGATCTCGCCTCACTGCAACCTCTGCCTCCTGGGTTCAAGCAATTCTCCTGCCTCAGCCTCCCAAGTAGCTGGGACTACAGGCGCACGCCACCATGCCCAGCTAATTTTTGTATTTTAGTAGAGACGGTGTTTCACCGTGTTGGCCAGGGTGGTCTCGATATCTTGACCTTGTGATCCGCCCGCCTCGGTCTCCCTAAGTGCTGGGATTACAGGTGTGAGCTACCTCGCCCGGCGCCATTTTCATATACATCATTCTTTTTCTGGGTATCTTTAAAAAGGTCCTTTTTTGGGAGTCTGAGGCAGGAGGATTGCTTGAGCTCAGGTGTTCGAGACCAGCCTGGGCAACACAGAGACACCTTGTCTCTTAAAATAAAACTCCACCTTTAAGTTATTCCTCGTCATCCTATTTTATAGATGAGAAAACTACAGCTCAGAGAGGTTACGCAGATGGCTACATGGTTTCCATCCTAGGTCTACTGTCACCAAGCCCTATCCACTACATTAAGTTGTTCCAAAGTTTAACATGTGGCCAGATGTATTCAACCTATTTAACTCATTAATAAGCACATTTAACCTATTTAATCTATTAAGCACAAAACTCCCTTTCCTACTCCCACTTCCAAGTAGAGCTGTGACCAAGAACTGGAGAACAGCCTCCGTGTCCTCTCCTACACCCCCAACTCAGGTGTTGGCACACTTGAATCGCCTAATAGAAAACATGCTCCGCCCTTACTGTTCCTCTCAGCACAGCTCCCAACTGTCTCTTCGCAGGAGTCACCATTCCGAGATTCCAATCTGCAAGGTCAGTTCAGGTACAGTAATTTAAGACAAACACCGCATGGGACTAGCATTTACCTTCTGGTCCCAGAACCGCACAGACTGCGAGATCCGCAGTACAACGGCTTTCACAACTGATGGGAGAACTGCATGTAGCGTTCCTGCACTCCACTTCCGCTAAGTCTAAAATGACACCACTGTTTCTCATCTTCCACTCACTTCGAACCAACGCCTTATCGAATACATTTTCAAAAGCCTGGCAGCTTCGCGAGCTGGAGGTGGTGAACCCGTCCCACGCCATGGGCGCACCAACCTTACCTTGCTGTCATGAGGCAAAGAGCCCTGAGACACCCTTGCAGGTCGGCACGCTCCCGCAGCAGCTAGTCTAACTCTGGCTCCCCCGTGTCACACGCGGAGACCGACTCCACACCCACCCACGCACGATCACCATGTGCAAAGTTGAATCCCGACTTCGCCCCAAAGACATTTCGTTTCCCCTACATGCAAAGGAGCCATGAAGACGTGCTCCCAGCCAGGCTGTCGGGCACTGAGATCCCTGCCCCGCGGGCGCCCGCCACCTCCTCCCCGAGCCCAGCATCCGACCCGCAGGACCCACCCCTGCGCAGGAACGCGACGCCCGTCCAGGTGTAGCCGCCGACTGCAGGCCACGCCGCCGGCCGCAGCCCGGGACTCGGGAGGCCGAGGGCGGAGGCGCGGCCGCCGCGCCCGCGCAGAGCCGCCCGTCGCCCCCCCGCCCCGCCCCCACTCGCCCCACCCCCACCGCCCGCCGGCGGGAGCCGAGGCGCGCCCGGCCGAGGCCCCGCCGCCCTGGTCCCTGCCCGCCAGCCCGCGCGCGCGCGCGCGCGCGCGCCTCGCGACCCTCCCGACCCTCCCCGCCCTAGCTCCCTGCACTCACTGAACATCCCAGGCGGCTCCGGCTCCCCCCGCCGCCGCCGCCTCCGGGATCGGGTTGCTTCCGCCTCCGTCGTCTCTGCCGCAGGGTCTCGCTCCGACGGCCGGCTCAGCTGGGCCCCTGCGCCCCGCGCCCCGCCGCCCCCGCCGCCGCTTTGGGCGGCCGCTCCATGACTGACTGACACGGAGCGGGCCGCGGGCTGGGCCGCTTGGGCCTCCAACGCGCAACCTTCTCCGCCAATGGGCGAGGCGCCTCGGCGCTCGGCTGGCGACGCCTGGCGTGCGTGCCGCCCCTCCCCGCTGCGCCGCCGGCGTCGGGCGGAAGAAGCGCGGGGGCCGGGCCCACGTGGTGGGGCTGCGGGACCAGGACAGTCGCCGCAGCTGTCGCCGCTGTCCTCCGTCGTCTACCCAGGGCTGTCTCGAGCTGAGCCCCCTACCGGGCCTGGGTCCCGAGGTGAGTCCCTACCCTCGGTGAGCTCTCTACCTGGAGCCAGGTCCCGAGGTGAGTCCCCCACCCGAGGCTGGTCCTGAGGAGAGCCCCTACCTGAGGCTGGGCCCCGACGGGGGCCCCCCACCCGGCCCAGTTCCAGTGTCGCCAGCAGACTCTGGGCGAGAGCCGACTGGGCGCACTCCATCTGTGAAGGCGAACTCCCTCCTGGCTCCTAATGCTCTCCTCTGGTTCTTGTTGCTTTGTCTCTTTCTGCTGGGCAGGGAGTGCTGGCAGGGTTTTGCTGTCCGCCCTGGACTTTGCATTGCCGGGTAAAGGCGGCTGGAGGCCAGGAAAGCGGGACTCTGGCGGAGCGGGTGAGAGCTTCTCGGTCGTCTTTGCAGCCAGTTCAACAAACACTTGTTATGCACTTTGTAGCTGTCTCAGTGGCGGTCTGTGGTATTGAACTTAGAAGTCAGGCATCGTTGAATTCGTTTTGGACGTTTTGACAAAATGGGAACACTGACAGCACTTGATGGTTCTTCTCTGCAGTAGAGTAAAGAATAATTTAATTTCTAAAATGAAAACGGCTTAACCGTCCTTTTTACTATAACTTTTAGGAAACTCAAAGCCAAGTATACCCAGTTTTATAGTAACTGTAGGTGTTTGATATGTTTGCTCCCCCCGAGACTTCATGACGTTTTTGTTTTCTATTTTTAGTTTTTTCCTTGTGCAAGTAAGGAAAAAGATTCTCTTGTAGATTCTTTTTTGAAGTGTGTATGTGCATTGTAAATTTATACATGAATGAATAAAAGTCTTAGTGGGAGGTTATTGTTGCAGCTGAAATAACAGTATTCCCTTGGGGATTTCTTTTTCACTTGGACACATATTACTTTCTCCAGGTATTGCTTATGTATCTTTTCCTCTTTCAATTGGAAACAATGTATGAATGACTCTTTCCACAAGTAATGTAAACACTGATTTTTGCCTTCTTGGATTCCTGCACACTCGCCTTTGTGGATGTGATGTTTGACCACAGCTGGAATATATATAGTCCATCTTCTGTGTGTACCATCCATCTTCTGCCTGCTTTTGTCTGAATCTCATCTACATATCTTAAAAATGTACATACCTTAATTTTAAAATACTTTATTGCCAAAAAATGTTATTGGTTATCTGAGCCTTCAGGGAGTCACGCTTTTGTCTGAAAATTCACGGAGTCTAGCATCTTGTATGTAGATTTACCGCAACCGAACTGTTGATTCATTAAAAACTTTTAAAAGAATACATATTAGGTGAACAATAAGATACAATATTGCAATACTGTTGACTTTCTGGTGCCTGCTCAGTCTGACCATGTTATAACATATTTTTTTCATTGTTTCAAAATTGTAGATAACTTGTAGCAATGGCTGCTGTTTATTCTGGCATTTCCCTTAAGCTTAAAAGCAAGACAACTTCCTGGGAAGATAAACTAAAACTAGCTCACTTTGCTTGGATTTCTCATCAGTGCTTTCTTCCAAATAAAGAACAAGTAAGTTTAATGTGAAACTCATATTTTTATAGTCTATCAAGATAATTGCATATTGGCAATTGGTTAAAATAAAAAAAATAGAGAGAAAAGGTTGGGGAGGGAACTTTGTTGAAAGTTAAATGAAATGTCAATGAAAAAAGTAATGAGTCAGATATTTCATTAATACCTTTTTTTTCCTGTTAAAAAACCTCAGTTTAGTTTGGGAGCAGTGGCTCATGTCTGCAATCTCTGTTTTGGGAGGCCAAAGCAGGAGGATCACTTGAGGCCAGGAGTTCTACACCAGACTGGACAACATGAGATCCCTTTCTGTTGGGATTTCATTATGTTTTGGGATTTGTGTCCTGGCTTCCCCCACATTACCTGAAGCTTAAACTCTAACTTTAAAAAATAGATATATGTATACACATATGTTAGACATGGTGGCATGTGCCTGTGGTCCCCAATACTTAGGAGGCTGAGGTGGGAGGATCCCTTGAGCCCAGGAGTTTGAGGCTGCAGTGTGCTATGATTGTGCCACTTCCTTCCTGGTGACAGAGCAAGACCTTGTCTCTTTAAAATAAATAAATAAACCCACTGAATTTAGCATTTCTTTTGTTTGGAGACATTATATTGTAAATTAAGTGTATGCATTAATGAACACATTGGGAATTAAGTTATGAAGTTAGTTTCTGAAAGTAGCTGCATTTGCTTATGAATCCAAAGTGATCTTTCATAAGCAGTTGGTTGGTGGTGCTTTGTTAAAAATCTTCAGAATTGGATAAATTGAAGGTTGGGAAGTAGAGAAATGTTAGTATAAAGCCGTTTTAGAAATAGGCTAGATACCAAGAAAGGCATTGCATTTTGTTAGAATTTCTCAAGCTTTTTTGGCTAAAAAATAGTCAGCATGATAAACACCAGGATGACAAGCTCATGAAATTGGATTAATACACATCCAGTTGCTGTTGTCAAAGAAGACCGCACAAAATGTGTCCAGGATGGATGACATATGTAAAGTGATGATGAGGTGTGGTGCATAGAGCAGTGGTCATATCCAGTGCTTTCTACTTCTGGATGAACATGGGAGTCATCTTGGCAGTGGGGCAGTCACTTGGCAAGTGCTGCCCAGGGTGAAACAAAGGGGTGGCTCTTGCAGCCAATTGGACCAAGGTTTCTGCTGCTACACTGAGAGATTGTATTCCTTCTGGCATCTGTCACTGTTCATACTGTTATTGACAGTTCTGGTATCATGAGCTGAGGCCTCACCACCTTTCTTCAATGTTTTGTGTATGAGGAAACATGACACAGTAATGGAACCAGTATAGGTACGGTCCTCCTTTTCATAAAGCACTTGTGTGATTTCCTATCGGCTGTCTATCTCTCAGATAAAGTATAATATTAATGGTGTTAAAGGTTAAGCTGCAGGTAATGTGGGGGAAGCCAGGATGCAAATCCCAGACTTTCAACTCTTTCTTGCTTTTTTGCTTTGTGTGTCTGATTCATTCTGTGGTTATTCTGAGCAGTTGTATTTCTAACTTTTTCTTTTTTTTTCTCCTTATACGATCTGTTCTAACTTTTAAAACTTAGTACATGCATATCTCAGAGATACTACAGGCTTGGTTCCATACCAGTGAAATAAAATTAATATCACAATATTGCAAGTTACACAAGTGTTTTGGTTTCCTAGTGCATATAAAATTTATGTTTCTACTATGATTTATTAAGAGTGCAGTAGCATTATGCTTAAAAAATGCACGTACCTTAATTTAAAAATACTTTACAGTATTGCCAAAAAATGTTATTGGTTATCTGAGCCTTCAAGGAATCATCATTCATCCTGGAGGGTCTTGCCTCAGTGTTGATGATCTGGGTGGTGATTGCTGAAGGTTAGAGTGACTGTGCTTCTTAAAATAAGACAACAGTGAAGTTGGCTGCATTGATGGGCTTTCCTTTCATGAAAGACACAGCATTTTACCCATGGGAGAACTTCTTTCTAAATTGGACTTCTCAAAACCTGCCACTACTTATCAACTAAGTTTAAGTTCTGTTCTCAATCCTTTGTTGTCATTTTAGCAATGTTCACAGCATCTTCCCCAGGAGTAGATTCCATCTCAAGAAGCCACTTTCTTTGCTCATCTCTAAGAAACAGTTTATTTGTTCAGGTTTTTTTAGTCCCTCCTTCAGGCTCCACTTCTATTTCCCTGGCTATTTCCAGTGGACATACAGTTACTTCCTCCACTTAAATCCTGAGCCCTTCAGAGTCATCCATGAGGATTGGAATCAGCTTCTTCCACACTCTGGTTAATGTTGATATTTTGACCTCTTTTCATGATTCATGAATATTTTTTGTGGCATCTAGAGTGGTGATTCTTTCCAGAAGATCTTCAGTTTGGCTTTCACCACATTCATCAGATAAATCACTATGGCACCTGTAGCATTAGGAAATGTGTTTCTTAAATAATCAGACTTGAAAGTCAAGAGTACTCCTTGATTTATGGGTTGCAGAATAAATGTTGTGTTAGCAGCCATGAAAACAACATTCATCTCCTCCTATATCAGAGCTCTTGGTCACCCTAGAGCAGTAATCTTCTGATAGAAATCTTTTTGTTCTGATCTGTCTCAATATGGGCTTAAAAATCTTCAGTAAACTATGCTGTAAATGGATGTGGTGTCATTCAGGCTTTGTTTTTCCATTGACAGAGGACAAGCAGAGTACATTTAGCATACTTCTTAAGGGCCCTAGGGTTTTGGGGGTTGTAAATGAGCATTGGTTCAACTTAAAGTTACCAGCTGCATTAGACCTTAATAAGAGGGTCAGCCTGCCCTTTGAAGCTTTGAAGTCAGTCATTGACATCTGTTCTCTAGCTATGAAAGTCCTAGATGGAGGCTGTGCTCAGTGGCTCATGCCTGTAATCCCAGCACTTTGGGAGGCTGAGGTGGGTGGATCACCTGAGGCTGGGAGTTCAAGACCAGCCTGGCCAACATGGCGAAACCCTGTCTCTACTTTAAAAAAAAAAAAAAAAAAAAAAAAAACAACTAGCCAGGTGTGGTGCCAGGCACCTGAAATCCTAGCTACTAGGGAAGCTGAGGCAGGAGAATTGCTTAAACCTGGGAGGCGGAGGTTACAGTGAGCCGAGATCGCACCATTGCACTCCAGCGTGGGAGACAGTGTGACTCTGTCTCAAAAAAAAAAAAACAAAAAAACAAAAAAACACCAAACAAATTAAAAAACTCAAAAAACAAAAATAAAGTTCTAGATGGCCTCTTCCAATAGAAGGCTGTTTCTTTCACATTGAAAATCTGTTGTTTATTGTAGCCAAATTCATCAATGATCTTAGCTAGATCTTCTGGATAACTTCACCTGGCACTTTTATGAAGATGGCTTCTTCCCCTAAACCTCGTGAACCAACCTCTGCTAGCTTCTAGCTTTTCTTTCACAGCTTCTTTACCTCCCTCAGTTCATAGAATTGAAGAGAGTTAGGGCCTTGCTTTGGATTAAGCTTTGGCTTAAGGGAATGTTGTGGTTGGTTTGAACTTCTATCCAGACCACTAAAACTTTCTCCACATCAGCAATAAGGCTGTTTCACTTTCTATCATTTGTGTGTTCACTGGAGTAACACTTTCAGTTTCCTTCAATATCTTTTTGTTTGCATTCACATTTTGGCTAGTTGGCTCAAGAGGCTTGGGTTTTGGTCTGTCTCACCTTTCAGCAAACTACTTCACTAATTTTAATTATTTTTAGCTTTGGATTTAAAGTGAGAGACAAGCAGCTCTTCCTACCACTTGAACACCTAGAAGCCATTGTAGGGTTAATTGGCCTAATTTCAATATTATTGTATCTTAGGGAATAGGAAGGCCAGAGAAGAGGGGGTGGGGGGGAAATAGCCCTTTCAGGGTAATAGCATTTTGATGGAGCACTCAGGAGGCATAGAAGATTTATTGATTAGGCTTGCTGACTTAGAAGGACACAGTTCATGGCTCCCTAAAACAATTAGAATAGTAACATCAGTGATCACTGATCACAGAGCACCATAACAAATATAATAAGAATGAAAAAGTCTGAAATAGTGGGAGAATTTCCAAAGTGTGCCAGACTCGAAGTGAGCACATGCTGTTGGAATGAAGGATCCGGTAGACTTGTTTGGCACAGGGTTGCCATAAACCTCCAATTAGTAAAATGCAGAATCTGTATCTACAAGGCACAATAAAATGAGATATGCCTGTGTAACCTCAGCAAAGGGGGTAAGACATGTTCAAGTTTCACCTGAAACTTTTTGTTTGCCCTCGCTGAAGACAAATTTGTTGTCTTCCCCTCCTTATCCTTTAACAATAAACATTTTAAAATACCAAAACACTTATGTCATATTATCAAAGGTAAATTTTAAAAGAAAGGTTTTTTTCCCCATGGCTATTGGATTTGGTAATATCCGTAATGTCCCTATGATGGCCAACATCTTTCTCTCTTACCAAATAAATTTATTTTCGGTGTATGTTTCCTTCAAATTCAGGTATTACTTGATTGGGCAAGACAATCATTGGTTGCATTTTATAAGAAGAAACTTGAACTGAAGGAAGATATTGTTGAAAGGCTTTGGATCTATATAGATAACATTTTACATAGCAGAAAATTGCAGAATCTCCTCAAGAATGGAAAGACCATTAATCTTCAGATTTCCCTAGTCAAGGTAATTAACTCTTCTGTTGTTCTGTATGCATTGGATCCATCTCCATTGATTTCTTCTTAATGCTGGAAGCTTGTTTTAGTGTCAATTGTATGAAGATACAGGAAATATCAAGGTAGGAGAGAAAGATGTAATATTATTAGAATTACAATAATTGTTTATTGAATGCATATCATATACTCTATACTATGCTAAACTCTTGTTAATATTCAAAATAAAGCTTAGAACTATTTCATAAACAGGTTATTGATTACCTTTTTAATTGGAAAAGGTAGCTAGCAAATTATGCTACTCTGATTTGTTTTTCTTCTTCACCTTTCTTTTGGTCTGGAGGGAGATCAAAGGCCAAAAGCCAGACAGGAATTTCCTCAAAGGGTTTTTTTAATTTTAATTTTTATTTTTTTACTATGGCCTTCAAGCCACAAGTGCCACTAGTGGCCTGGCTGGCAACCCGGGGACCTCCTCAGTTTTTGACTGAAAGTGATTTTGAAGTCTCAGATCAGAAGTATGAACTTCATTGTCAAAATGGAGTGTGTTTAAATACCATGAGAATAGCTAGACAGAATTAAAAACTGCTACTGATGAGCACTTAGTGTGTGCCAGGCCTACAGAAGTTTAACTTTTCTAAAGTCCTATGGCTAGTCAGTGGCAGAGCTGGGATTTGAACCTCACTCTGTGTGAGTGTAAAGCCTGGGTTGTGAAGCCATCACACAATGAGTGTGCAGGCAGAGAGAAAATCATTAGAGGCTGGGAACAGAGAAACGAAGACTGAGCTGCCTGATGGCACATAGACTTTAATGGTTCTTGAGATTATGTTCCAAACTGGATCAGTTTTAAAAATAATAAACCAATGGTCACCAAAGTGGCTTATTTCAAATGGTGTTTTGGAATATGGGAAGAAAATGTCTCCTTGTTTAAAAAGCCATACTTAATTTTTATTTTTATATATGCTTTATAGTTATATAAAAAGTACTGTAGCATATGTGTATAATTTATGAATAAATTATACTTATTGAGTATAAGTGCAGGAAAAATTGATGAGTTGTATAATAAAAAATTTGGAGATCACTGTAATAGTGCATTGACATTTAAGGATCTGTCATCTTTGTTACAGCTTTTCCAGAGTAACTTTAAGAGTCCATGGCCAGCAATTACTTGAATGGAAATAATAATACCTATCTCATTAGGGCACTGATAACTTAGCACCTGAGATAGGTTTGATTCTCAGATTCCATAAGGCTGAGAGCAAGTCACTTAACCTCTGAGTGAATTATAGAATCTGCCTGGTTCTCAAAATTTCTGGTGTTTGTGAATTTTGGAAGTTTGAGAGCAGCAGACAATAGATTTGCTGTATAATAAGCAGTAGTAACATAACATTTGCTTCTCTTTTTTAAACATTTTTTGAGATAGAGTCTCCCTCTGTCACCCAGGCGGAGTGCAGTGGTGTGATCTTGGCCCACCTCTGCCTCCTGGGTTCAAGTGATTCTTGTGCCTCAGCCTCCCGAGTAGCTGGGACTACAGTTTTGCCCCACCATGCTCAGCCGATTTTTTATATTTTTAGTAGAGATGGTGTTTCACCATGCTAACCAGGCTGGTCTTGAACTCCTGGCCTCAAGTGATCTGCCCCCACCTCAGCTTCCCAAAGTGTTGGGATTGCAGGCATGAGCTACTGCACCCAGCTGCTTTCCTTTTTAAAAGAGTGCCTTTTGCTTTGGCTTTTTAAGTAGAAAAAGTACAATTGACTATAAACATGTATTTTTTTCTTTTTTGAGATAGAGCCTTGTTCTGTCACCCAAGCTGGAGTGTAGTGGCTTGATCTCAGCTCACTGCAGCCTCTGCCTCCCAGGTTCAAGCAGTTCTCCTGCCTTGGCCTCCCAAGTAGCTGGGATTACAAGTGCCTGCCACCACACCTGGCTACTTTTTTTATTTTTAGTGGAGTTTGGGTTTCACCATGTTTGCCAGGCTGGTCTTGATTGCCTGACCTCAAGTGATCCACCCACCTCAGCCTCTCAAGGTGCTGGGATTACAGGGGTGGGCCACCACGCCTGGCCTATAAACATGTATTTTGGACCACAAGGTCATAACTCAAGTGCTACTGTCTCTCTGCCTGGTAACATTTAAGCTCAATTGCAGATTTAGGATCTAAGAGAAAGTGATATTTGGCACTTAAGCCTTTTAAAACCCAGCTTTTAGAAAAAGGGACAGCGAATTTACAAAGGCATGGATCCTTTTTTCGATTTGCATTGGTAGAAGATGGATAGGTAGAGGAATTAAAACAGGTGCTTTGCCTTGTTTTTGATGCACTAAGCTTATGTCAAGTTCATTGACACACAGTATTTCCTACCAAGGTGAGGGTAATAGGTGAGTTTGTTGATTTTTTTTTTTAATACTTTTCTTGCATATGTATGGGTCTAAGATAAGTAATGAATTTTCTTTCTTTCTTAATGTTCAGATCATAAATGAGAGAATAGCTGAGTTCTCTCTTTCGGGATCCCAAAGAAACATCTGTGCTGTCCTTCGATGCTGCCAGGGCATCCTGTCAACACCTGCCCTTGCTGTCATCTACACGGCCAAACAGGAGCTGATGGTGGCCTTACTGAGCCATCTTTGCTGGTTGGCCTGCAGGCAACCAGAAGGAGCCGTGGTAGCCCAGTTGTTTGAGGTCATTCACCTGGCCCTGGGCCATTACCTTTTGATCCAGCAGCAGCAGGTCAACCCAAGACGTGCCTTTGGGGATGTGACTGCTCACCTGCTCCAGCCAGGCCTGGTCCTGAGGCACTTACTCTCCGGGGGCACATGGTCACAGGCTGGTCAGGGCCAGCTGAGGCAGGTGCTGAGCCGGGACATCAGGAGTCAGATTGAGGCCATGCTCCGAGGAGGAGTTTTTCAGCCTGAGCTGCTGTCATCCTATAAGGAGGAGCTCTTGGACCAGCAGCAAGGGGATACGAAGACAGGAGCCATGAAGAACCTTTTGGCTCCCATGGACACTGTGCTTACCAGGCTGGTCGATGCTGGCTACTGTGCAGCATCCCTTCATACCTCTGTTGTGGCCAACTCAGTGGCCTTGTTGTATAAGCTCTTTCTAGATTCTTACTTCAAGGAGGGAAACCAGCTTCTCTGCTTCCAGGTTCTCCCCAAGTTGTTTGGCTGCTTGAAGATTTCACACCTGCAGGAGGAGCAGAGAAAATCCCTGTCCACATCAGATTGGACCACAGAACTTTTGGTTGTGGAACAGCTACTAAACTCAGTGGCCAACAACAATATCTACAACATCGCTGCTGACAGGATTCGGCACGAAGAGGTTCAGTTCCACTTTTACCGCCGTGTGGCTGAGCTGCTGATAAACCATGCACAAGCACCCATACCGGCCTGGTTCCGCTGCCTGAAGACTTTGATGTCACTGAATCATTTGATTTTGGAGCCAGACCTGGATGACCTGCTGGCTTCAGCTTGGATAGATGCAGAAGTAACAGAGTTTCGAACCAAGAAAGCCCAGGACGCGCTTATTCATACTCTCTTCCAGACTTATGCCAAACTCCGACAAGTGCCACGGTTGTTTGAAGAGGTTTTGGGGGTGATCTGTCGTCCAGCTGCTGAGGCACTGAGGCAGCCTATGCTGGCCTCAGGCCCGTCCACGGTGCTCTGTGCGTGCCTCCTGGAGCTGCCTCTGAGTCAGATCCTGGACACGTGGTCCCTTGTGTTGGAGAAGTTCCAGTCTTTAGTCTTGCCCTATTTGGAGAATGATGCTGACCTGGCCCTGAAGTCACTGTCACTGAGCTCGCTGCTGCATTGCATCATGTTCAACATGAGGAGCCTGGACAGCAGCACGCCCCTGCCCATCGTCAGACGGACACAGTGCATGATGGAGAGGATGCTGAGGGAGCTCGTGCAGCCCCTCCTGGCCCTTCTAGACCCCCCAGGCCCAGAGCTTGAGCTGTGGCTACAGAAGGTCAGTGACTCTGCACTCCTGCTCGCTTACACCTGGGCCCAGGTGGATGCTATGTTCAGTTTGAACTGTAGCCAATATCACTCTATGTCTGGGGCCCTTACAGGTGTTGCCCTGGAGATCTCGGACCACCCTTCATTGCTCCCAGGTGTAGAAACACAGCATTGGAAGAAGATAGAGAAGTTTACAGCTCAGTTCAACTCTCTTGGTAGATACTGCTTAGAACAGCTGTACTTGCAGAAAATGAAAAGAACTTTAATGCAAACTAGTTTCCGGTCTGAAGAAGCCCTCCGAAGTTTGAGGTGTGATGCTGCCTTTATTATTGGTTCTGGCAGAAAAAACTTGAATCAAAGAACGATGGCTTCCTGGGACAGCCAAGTAGGGACGGTGAGTGCACTCACGTACCCTGTAGCACACTGGCACTTGATTGTGTCAAATCTCACCATTTTAATATCCTATCTGTGTCCAGATGATGTGAGATACCTGGCCAGTGTCCTGCTGAGAACTTTACCAATGGGCAGAGCCCAGGGTGGCTCAATAGATGAAGAGCCGTACATCACACTGCAAAAAATATCTAGAGCCATCCTTAACAGCCCTCTCTTTCCAGAGATGCAGTCCCTTCATTCTGCCTTCTTAATGTGTTTAGCCACAAGATGTTCCAGCATTCTGTGTTCTGGTGCCCAGTGTGACTCAGGTCTTGTCAGTCAGCAGCTTCCCTGGCTTTTTGAAAAGGACCACATGGTTGTGGCTCATTGGGAAAACAGATTTGCAAAAGTTGGACCCGAAGGTATAGAACCTAGAGGAGAAATTGCCCAGAACATACTATCCCTGGTCAAGAGTGACTTCCCCATCCAGCTGGAGGGAGAACAGTTGGAAAGCATCCTGGGGTTTTTGGAAGTAATGTCTACTTTACAGCTGGACAGCCTCTTGCCGCCCTATCATGTGCATTATTTTCTTCTGTTACTGTCCATGGCTGTCGCCAAACTAGGATGCTCTTGCTCCTCCTCATTGGCTCTCAAGTTCTTGACGACTTGCTACCAGCTTCTTGGTTACCTGCAAAGGGGGAAAAGTGTTCGGTCTGTGTTCAAGATCATGTATATTAGTGATATTTTTGAGATTGTACTGACCTCATTGTTCAGAGCTAGTAGTAGATTCCCTATTGAGATGGATGATCCTGCTTGGCTGGAATTCCTCCAAGTGATAGGAACATTCTTAGAGGAGCTAATGCAGATGCTCATCCAAATGAAGCTGAGCTTGGTGCTCAATTTTAGAAAAATCACCGCGTTCCTCTCTAGTTCCAAACCACACATGGAGGCAGCTTCTGGCAAACAGTTGGAAAATCAGAACCCTCAGGGCAGGCAGCTCCTTCTGGTGTCTTTAACCAGGTTGTGCCATGTCCTGGGACCTTTCCTCAAAGAGCAGAAGCTGGGCCAGGAGGCCCCAGCAGCTCTGTCTGAGCTGCTGCAGCAGGCCATGCTGCAGACAGGAGCTGTGCTGCAGCTCTGCTCAGTGCCAGGGGCCCAGGGCTGCTGCCTTCCCTCGGTCCTCATCTCATCTGTCAGCATGCTCTTGGAAGCCGACCTGGGCCAGCACTGCAGGGATGGAGAGGCCAACATTTCCCAAGTAACCGACGGGACACTGCTCTCCCATGCTGCCCTCTACCAGGGTGTTTACTCTCAGATACTGTTGGAGTTGCCAGCTCTTGCAGGACATGATCAGTCTTTTCAGGCAGCCTTGCAGTTTTTGACTCTGTTCTTTTTGGCCCCAGAACTCCATCCCAAAAAGGACTCCGTGTTTACCTCCATGTTTCATTCTGTGAGAAGAGTTCTTGCAGGTAAGGTATTTTCTCCTGAGTTAATTCTGTGTTATAGAGGTCTAGTTTCCGCTGCTCCCCTTTTTGGAACTGGTAATAAGTGAACACGTGGTGTGTTCAAAAGGTACTACATGAGGACAGTGAGACAGTCTTCCTCCCAGGCCCAGCAACCACAACTTCATGCCTTTTATTTACTTTCTAGGCACACTTAAGCAATTACCCTTACCACTGTTACTTACTGTGCAAACAGCAGCCTCCTCTGTAGGTTACTCTGTGCCTCAGTTGCTCACTTATTTTGGAGGTGGTTCTGTGTAAGTTTACAATTTTGAAATCCACTCCTCTTCAGTTTTTTAGCCTTTAACTTGTCTTGGCTGCAGTGAGATACATAGATACTTGCATCCTTAGTAGGCTCTTATGTATCAGACTTTCAGTGCCATAAATTGACTTTAAAAAGATATAAAAATCTGCCAACTTTAAAAAAGTACAAAACAGGGCCAGGCATGGTGGCTCATGCCAGTAATCCCAGCACTTTGGAGGCTGAGGGGGCAGATTGCTTGAGCCCAGGCAACATGGCAAAACCCCATCTTACCAAAAATATAGAAATTGGCCACGGAGTTTGAGGTGGGAGGATCACCTGAGCCCAGGGAGGTTGCTGCTGCAGTGAACCTTGATCCTGTCATTTCACTCCAGCCTGGGTGACACAGTGAGACCCTGTCTCACAAAAATAAATAAAATTTATTATTTATTTTGAGCCACACTGATGTGCCACACTCTGTCCCCAGGCTGGAGTGCAGTGTCATGATCTTGGCTCACTGCAACCTCCGTCTCCCGGGTTCAAGCAATTCTCCTGCTTCAGCCTCCTGAGTAGCTGGGACTACAGACGTGCGCCACCACGCCCAGGTAATTTTTGTATTTTATTAGGGATGGAGTTTCACCACGTTGGCCAGGATGGTCTCGATCTCTTTACTTTGTGATCCACCCACCTCAGCCTCCCAAAGTGCTGGGATTATAGGCATGAGCCACAGTGCCCAGCCAATAAAGTAAACTTTCAATTAAAAAGTACAAATTACTTAATTTCTAAAGAGCCTTTTACAGTTTCTTGAGGGCAGGACTGTGCCTTCCTTAGTTCACCCCCCTGCCCCCCAACCCCTCTCTTCCCCCGCCCCCCCTCCCCCCCCCCACCCCTCTCCCCCACATTAGGATGCTGCCAGGTGCAAGTGCTAATTGGACCAAGGTTCACCTTCGATGTCATCATAGTATTTTAGTCTGAAGGCAGCCTTCCAGGCAGCAAACTAGGACCTCATATACAGCCTAGAAGCGAGAGAGCTCATGTCTTCCTGCATAGAGTCAACCTTTACAGTCCCCGTGGTCAAAGGTTAATGGGTTACTGTGCAGTCATTAAAATTATAATTGTGAAAACTCTTATGAAGACAAGGGCTAGAAATATCTAGAAAATATTGTTAAGCAAAAAAAAGTACAATATGAAATGTTAAATATGCCGCAATTACAACTATATAAAATATGCATGCATGCAGACAAGGGATAGAAATGCATGCAAAAATTAAAATAATCATTGTATTAACATGTTGTGGTTGTTGCTATTTTCTTTATACCACTTTAATGTTGCATTTTAATAATACATCAAAATACTTGTCTATGGTTTAATTAAACTTGCCATAGCAGGGGATAGATTATAATGTCTTTGGAGGCCCTTTTAGAGTTAGTTGAGGTTTTCCTGTAAATATAGTAAAAGTTGATTAAGATGTGTTACCTTTATTAGGGTATACAAATAAAATACACTTTTACTCCTCCCAAAAAACAAACAAGCAAGCAAGAAGAGATGTCTTCTGTTTCAGGATGGCACACACCACAATTGTGGGGGGCCTTTTTTTGTTTTGGTGGTAATGAAAGTGTTGGGGTCAGGTCAGTCTTTTAAGGTGAGGTCTGGCAATCGGGCAAATCTGATCCTCGGAGCACAGATTAACCTCTGTGTTTCTGGGTGGAGAAGCTGTGATAGTTGGGGCCGCGGGCCTGCCTTTCAGTACATGAGGGTTAAATGGGTTCTCGCGGAAAGTGAAGCCACCTGGTCTGCCTGTGCAAGCACCAAAACTGAAGTTCATGGCCCAAATCATGCTGCTGATGTCTCCCTTTCAGGAACCTCTCTGTTTCTGGCTTGACAGTGGATTAATTGATAGGCTTTGGTATTAACATTGTTCTGTCTTACTGTGTCAGCGACTCTTTTAGGGAATGGTATTCACCTTCTTAATGGGAGCTGAAATCGAGTCTTTTATTAAGCCTAATTACAGTGTTCTAAATGAATGGCCCAAGAAACGGCAGCTGGTGGTCTGAAGCTCTGCCCCTGTGCCCCTTAGTTAAACAAATACTTTGACTTCCATTTCCTCTTCAACCCTGGTGAATTGAGGCAATCTGTCTCTCTTTTTTTTCTTTTCTTTTTTTGAGACAGAGTCTTGTTCTGTCACCCAGTCTGGAGTACAGTGGCATGGTCTCTGCTCACTGCAACCTCTGCCTCCTGGGTTCCAGCGATTCTCCTGCCTTAGCCTCTCAAGTAGCTGGGATTACAGGCATGCACCACCACACCTGGCTAATTTTTGTATTTTTAGTAGAGATGGGGTTTAAATGTCGGCCAGATTGGTCTCAAACTCCTGACTTGAGGTGATCCACCTGCCTCAGCCTCCCAAAGTGCTGGTGTGAGCCACCACGCCTTGCTGAGTTGAGGCAGTCTTTTAAGTCCTAACTGTATGTCCCTGGACTTCTGGTATCTTTTCCCCAGGGACAGAGCCCCTTGGTCACAGCATGGTCAAGGTTGGGCCAGGCCAGCCTGCCACACTGTTGTGCCCTCAGCTCATAGGCCTGGGGTGTTGTGTCCAGGTCTCTTCCACCCGAGCTGTTAGGCTCTGTCCAGGGAAGTGCCAGAGTTGTGAGTGCCGTGGAAGAAATGCCAAGTGAGGAGTGGCCCAAGGCTTTAGGCAGGGAGAGAGGGAATGTGAGGAGGGGCTGTGCAGGTGCCCCAGCCATGGAGTTCTCCCTGTGTCCTCGAGGGTGGTCCAGAGGTGGGCTTTTATAAAGATACCTTCTGACCGTAGAACAGAGGACCTGAATTCAGTTACAGAAACCCACACTTCTAAAAATGCTTCTTGGCCGTGAGTGGTGGCTGGCATCTATAATCCTGCACTTAGGGAGGCTGAGGCAAGAGATCACTTGAAGCTAGGAGTTTGAGACCAACCTGGAAAAAAGCGAAACCCCATCTCTTCAAAAAGTTAGCTGGGTGCGGTAGCATGCACCTGTGGTCCCAGCTACTCTGGAGGCTGAGGCGAGAGGACCCCTTGAGTCCAAGAAGTCGAGGTTGCGGTGAGCCATGACTGTGCCACTGCACTCCAGCCTGAGTGATGGAGTCAGATCCTGTCTCCAAAAAATTTTTTTTAAAAATTAAAATGCTTCTTGTATGTTTGAGACTGTATCCTGCTCTGGAGGAGAGTGAGGTGTTGATTTTGGCCTTTGTAATTAAGTAAACAGACATTCGCACCAATCATAGGGTAAAGGTGGGGGAGACGCCGTAAAGCTAACCAGAGCGATGGGACTCTGGGTGGAGAGGCCGCATACAGGCCTAGCCTGAGTGGCCCTTGAAGGGTAGTTAGGGCAGGTGGAAATGGGAGCCTTTCATGTGAGGGCACTATGTTGTGAGCTCTGTGGTCTTTTTAAACTTGCCAGCCACAGGAGTTGGTGCTGTTATGCCCACTTCACTGATGAGGGTGTTGAGGCTCAGGAAAGGAGCCTCACTGATGAGGGAGATCATTGAGTCAGGGTTTTACAGCTTGTGGGAGATTCAGACCTAGATCTTTACCTCTCAAAAGCCTTTGGTTCCCTTTCCCCCAGTGCTGTAAACAGTAAGCAAAGACAGGAAAGCAGGAAGGTATTCTGGCAATGTGGAATAGTCAGATGGGGCTGAAGCGATGGCTGGAAAGATGACCTGGGGTCAGATGATAAAGGGCCTTGAGCGCCCTGGCTTTGGGCATTATTGTGAAACCATGGGCCCAAGGACACTGGGGATGATGAAAAACAGCCGGGTGACTTCCTGACAATCATGCAGTCCCGAAAAGTGAGTCTCTTAATCTTTTTAGCTTTCCCATCTGTTTAAAATACCACCCACTCTTGCGCCCCTACCAATTTTATAAAAGAAATACAAAACAGAAAAAAAAATACAATTGACCCTTGAACAACATAGGGGTTAGGGCACCAACCCCTGGCACAGTAAAAAAAAAAATCCATATATATCCTTCTGAAACAATTCTATTTAAAAAATCATATATTACTTTTGACACTCCAAAACTTAACTACTAATAGCCTAATGTTGACCAGAAGCCTTACTGATAACATGAGCAGTTGATTTCCACATATTTCACATATGTATTTATATATTCTTATAATCAAGTAAGCTAGAGAAAAGATGTTATTAAGAAAATCATAAGAGAAAATGTATTTGCCATTCATTAAGTGAAGTAGATTATCATCAAGGTCTCCATCCTCTTCGTCTTCACATTGCGTAGGTTGAGGAGGAGGAAGGGGAGGGGCTGGTCTTGCTGTCTCAGGGGTGGCAGAGGCCGAAGAAAACCCATGTATAAGTGGATCCATGCAGTTCAAATGTTGTTCAAGGGTCAACGGCACAAAGTAATAGCCACCTGTCTTCTGTGGTTTGGAGCTTACCTCCTAAGCATGGCTGTCATCTTCTGTGTTTGTGTGTGTATACACACTGCACAGGTACAGCTGTGTGTGAGAACATGGCATCACACTAAATACGTGTACCTGCTTTTTCCACCAGTGCTTGTATTACCATGCCCCTGACTTGGTGATTTTTGATGACTGCCACAGCTGTACACGATTTCATCCTGTGGCTACTTGGTAATTTATTTCACCTGTCTGTCTGTCACATCTTAACAGGTTTGGTTTCTTTCCCACACAGATCCTGAAATTCCTGTTCAGGTCACTCAGGATATTGAGCCTCATTTGGGAGCCTTGTTCACCCAAATGTTAGAGGTTGGGACAATAGAGGACTTGAGGCTGGTGATGCAGTGTGTTCTCCAGGGACTGGATGTCAGTAACATGTGGAAAGCAGATGTGCAGGTGGGTGGCTTCTCCCTCCTTGTGTGGCAGGCTTGGAAACCATGTCAGCTCAAATGGGAAAACTGATTTGAGTTGCGGTGTCACCCCTAAAACTAAACAAACACATTCTAACTGGTAAAGACTCTAAGCAAAGAGGGAGGCTGTGAGAGGGAGCTGTGGTTGGGACAGCCCAGGCTGCAGTGTAGGGAGGCCTTAGTTTTCAAATGGGAAGTTTTTCAAATTATAGATGTGTGGTCTTGGCACGTCAAATACCAAGTATTACGTATTCACAAAACCGATACATAGAAAAGTTAAACTGCTCATTCTTTGCTGAAGACCTTTTGCACCATAGTTTTTGAAACATGTGGCCCGATTGGGCCATACTGCCCTCATGCCAGCATTTGAGAAGCGCTTAGGTTAGCCTACCCGCTTCAGTTCCCATGGAAGTCACTAATACAGCCTGCGTGCTGTTGCATTTGCTGAGTGCCTTTGCACAGAGCTCACATGCTGGGATTTGCTTCTCTGAGTGCCCCTGGGCCCTGGACCGGTCAGATGTCCCCACTCTTACACAAGGAAGAAGGCCACAGAGCCAGTAGTTGGTGGGGCAGAGACTCCAGCCAAGGTCTCTGGTCTAGGCATATTCTGCCTCATGAATGGCTTGGTGACTCCTGGTCATATATAGGTATTGGGTACTGATTTGGACAGGAGAAGAGCTCGAGAGGCTAATCTGGGAGCTTACAGGGAGGGGTCAGTCAGTCAGGAGACTTCCCGGAGGAAGTGAGACTCCAGCGTGCACTGAAGAACACAGGAGACTTGGTTGGGGCAGCAGCGGGGAGGGTAGGGAAGGTGTGCACAGTGCAGGAAGCGTGTTGGGCTGCCAGGAGCAGGGGATGTGCAAGCGTGAGAAGATGGACAGGGAAAAGTGCTGGCAGGCGCGCCTGGTAGGGAGGTACTGCCTGTAGGTGGGCAGGAGGGCAGGAGTGGAGACAGGACTTTGGGATGTGCATAGTGAGGGGGTGCAGGGAAGGGAAGAGAGCGAAGGGCAGAAGCCAGGAGTTTGGCTAGGGTTGTGGTGCTACACAGCATTAGGGGAGAAGAGGCTGGTGTGAGGCTGAAATAGAAACTGACTGACAGTGTGAAATGCCTGGCACTGGGTCAGTTTTTTCATATAGGCACTCAGTAAAGGTAGGGCTCAGCCCATGTCTCATTGTTTAAAACCTTATTTTTCAAAGAGGAAGTTTCTCAAATTATAAATGTGTGGTTTTCTGTGAAATACTAAGTACTACCTATTCACAATACTGATACCTATAAAAGTTAAATTCTGGCCAGTGTGGTGGCTCATGCTGTAATCCCAGCACTTTGGGAGGCCGAGGTGGGCGGATTATATGAGGTCAGGAGTTTGAAACCAGCCTGGCCAACATGCTGAAACGCTGTCTCTACTAAAAATACAAAAATTAGTCGGGCATGGTGATGGGTGGCTATAATACCAGCTACTTGGGAGGCTGAGGCAGGAGAATCGCTTGAGCCCAGGAGGTGGAGGTTGCAGTGAGCCGAGATCATGCCATTGCCCTCCGGCATGGGTGATAGCGTGAGACTTGGTCTCAAAATAAAAAAAAAACTTAAATTTTCCTCATTCTTTGCTTAAGACCTCTCCCACCATCCACTTTGAAACATGTGACCCAATTGGGCCGTATTGCTGTCATGTCAACATGTGACACCTGTGACCACAGCACCTAACCTGATTGTTTCCATATTTTCCTCCAGCCCCTGCTAGCCGTAAGCATGCATTGTTGCTCGGTGAAGTAATAGCCAGCATCCTCTGCATGGACAGAACCTTGACAACACAGGCTCTCTGTGATTAGGTCACAGTGTGTGACCCTTGTGCAGTCCACTGTCCTGGCCCACTTACATGTTTGGTTTAGTGAGACACCGCTGAGAGACCCTGAGTTTGCCCCAGCTCTGCTCATGGTCTTCACTTCCTTCCTGTCTGCCTGCTGATGTGAAGGGTGTCCCCCTCAGGACTTAACCCTAAGCACACCTTGTCCATGTCTCCTGACACCAGGGCTCTCAAGGGCTCCACTCCCAGGGAACCGGCTTCGTCCTCAGGCAGAGTTCTTAGGAGAGAACGGGCTATCTCTCCTGCTAAGTTTTTTCTTTTTCCTCAGGCTGTTGTGTCAGCTGTTACATTGCTGAGGCTGCTACTGAACTGCCCATTCAGTGGAGAGAAAGCAAGTCTGTTGTGGTGTGCATGTCCCCAGATAGTCACAGCTTTAACAGTGAGTACCCTCTGGAGAGGTGTCCTCCAGCTCCTCCCCTCTCTCCCTTAAAGACAGAAGTCAACCTTTTGGGGTCTGCTGCCATGTGGCTTTATGCAGAGCATGTGTGGGCTGCTGCTTTCTGAGGACGGCAGTGAGCAGGATGCCAGGTTTGTATGTCTTGCCTGAACACATTGGTATTAACAGTTGGAGCAGTGGAAGGGAGGTGGTATTAGGGACATTTAGTAGCATCGGAAAGCGTCAGGCAGTAAAAAGAGGGGTGTGATGATAACGGGAGGCTGTTGTGGAGGCCTGTTTAATTTTTAAAATTTTGTGTTTTATTATTTTTGTAGAAGTGGGATCTCACTGTGTGGTCCAGGCTAAGGTGACATGGCTATTTGCAGGTGCAAGCATAGTGTTCTGCAGCCTCAAACTCCTGGCCTCAAGCAATCCTTCTGCCTCAGCCTCCCAAGTCACCAGGATTATAGGTGCATTGTAGATCCCTGTTTAATCAGATGATAATAGAAGGAATTCTGGGCTTTCTTTGTCCCCACAAAATGTTGTGATTAGTTTGATGCACTCATTTATTTGTAGGAGTTCCGTGTGTGTGTGTGTGTGTGTGTGTGTGTGTGTGTGTGTGTGTGTGTAAGGCCTATGATACAGTGAGAATTAAATGCTTTAGAGGATGGGATAGTAATGTTGCAGATAGGAGGTTATTTTGTTGCAATCTTACTCAAATGTTAAAATCTGTGTCCAGTTGTTGCTAGGCTGTTTGTTTCACTAGAACAAAAGCCTGGCTCAGATTGGGACTGTCTCCTGCCCTCTGAAAACCCTGACATGAGTGTTTTTACGCTTAGATGGGAAGGAGCAGTTTATATTTTACCATCATCCTCTGCAGTAATTCTAGCTGTTGCTACCTGAGAGAATTGGCCTGGGTTAGCATGTTCCTGGGGCAAAAGGGCCTAAAAAACAGACTGAATGTTCTCTCTTGTTTTTAATTTGGCTACTTTGTCATTTTCCTGAGCATCCACGTTGGTTGATGGCAGAGGTCATTGTCACCAAGTGTGTGTGGTCAGCATCAGGAGAGGCATGTGGGCTGTAAAAGGAGGTGACCCATGCTGACGAGCAGGCACAGGATTGATGATGTGCGTGGTGGGCTCACACTGACAAGAACACCAGGCTAGAATCCGCTTATGTACACCCAAACGGTGGAGCAGGGGCCCGCACAGCCAGAATACCTAGCAGAACAGTGAGCACTGTGACAGATAGGACCCGAAAGGTCTCACCAGGGCTGCTGTGTGTCTCAGAAGGAGGGTCACGGGTGGGCTCTCCCAGGTTACGTAGGTAAGACGTTGAGCATTCTTCCTCTTGGGTCTGTTCTCTTTATTTTCTAGATCAGTAGTAGATGAATATCTTTAACTAGAACTGATTTGTAAGAAATTTAACAAATGGTATTTAACTGCCCACTGACCGCATCAATTCATTTTGGAGCACATTTTTACTGCAGTCACTCAGTGCTGCAGTGTTTATGTTATTTCCCTGGAGAATTACTTTCATTTTTTCTCTATTTCATCTTGCCCTTTAGCTCCTAAACCGAGAAGCTTGTCAGGAGCAGCCTGTGTCCCTGATGGTGGTCGAGCCTGTCCTAGACGTCCTGGCTGCACTGCTGCGGCAGGGGGAGGAGGCCATTAGCAACCCCCACCACGTCAGCCTGGCCTTCAGCATCCTGCTCACTGTCCCTTTGGACCATCTGAAGCCTCTGGAGTATGGAAGTGTCTTCCCGAGGCTGCACAACGTGCTCTTTTCAATCCTGCAGTGTCACCCTAAGGTGAGAAGGAGGGAGACAGCGTCAGGCAGCTTTTCCTCTGTGAGCAGGGTACTTTTAAGTCTATAGAAAGGTGGCAGCAAAACTTGACTGTTGCAGGATAATAATAAAATTAATGATTTGCTAGGCAAACTTTCTGTTCTAGTAAATTTCAGAGCTGAGTGGTTTCTCAGGCACAACAACACTGGACGTTCGTACTGTGCTTTTCTAGTGATGTTTTTCTTTGTTGGATCTGGTGCTTTGAATAGTGTTTGGATATTACAGGTTGAACATTTCTAACCCCAAAACCAAAATGCTCCAAAACTTGAAACTTTTAGAGTGCTGACATCATGCCACAAGTGCAAAATCCCACTCTTGACCTCATGTGATTGGTTGCAGTCAAAACACAGTCAAAAATTTGTTTCATGCACAAAATTATTTAAAATGATTATATGCAATTACCTTCAGCTATGTATATAATGTATATAAGGTGAAACAAAAATGAATTTTTAAATTGTGTTTAGATGGATCCCATCTCCAAGATATCTCATATATGTGCAAATACTCCAAAATCTGAAATCTGAAACACTTCTGGTCCCAAAGCTTTGGGATAAGGGATATACAATCTGTGCTGTTTAAGGAAGCTCATTAGAAATTATTCTGTTTTTGCTCACCACATATTTAAATAAGTCACTCACTTGCATAGATCTCTTGTTGGGCTTATAATTCAAGTGGATGTCGGGAATGAGGCTCCCTGAGTTCCAATTTTATAGTATGCTCCTTTTTAAGTTAAACTGAAACTAGGGATAAATGTCCCACAGAAAAAAATGGCAGTTCAGCTAACATTTAGTGAACATTTGTTATGTTCCACTCCTATAGCAAGCCAGTGAAAGAGGTGGTAATCCAATTTTATTGATGAATAAACTGAGGCTCAGTGCCACCAAATGATTTGACCAGTTACTTAGCTGAGTCTAAACCTTAGACTCAAGACTGTTGTTATCTTTGAGCAGTGTTCTTTTCATGGTGCCACCACTATATGTATGGCTGACTATATGTGTAGGAACTCATAAATAAGACAGTTAAGACATCGCTTAATGACAGGGACCTGTTCTGAGAAATGTGTCCTTAGGCATTTTTGTTGTGTAAATACCATAGATCGTATAATACTTTCACAAACCCAGACGGTACAGCATACTACACACCTAGGCTATGGGGTATAGCCTGTTGCTTCTAGGGTACAAGCCTATATAGCACTTGACTGTACTGAATCCTGCAGGCAGTTGTCACACAATGGTAAGTATTTGTGCATCTAAACAGAGAAAATTTCCATTAAAAATACAGTCTTATAATCTTATAGGACCACTGTTGTTTATGCAGTGTGCCTTTGACCAGGGTATTGTTTTGTAGCGCATGGCTGTGTGTCATATATTCATGCATATTCCGATATTTTTAAGTGCTTTGATGTCCTAAGGATAGAAACCTGCCAGCAGTACAGTTTTTAAGGAAAATATTCTCTGATAAGCTAAACACTCATGAAATTGGGTCTAACTCTAAAGCCTTCCCCCATTAACAATTGCCTTTGGCGCTGTTTATCTTATCAGTATCTTTGTTATGAAATCTCTTGGCTGATGTTGGATTTGTATGTGACTGTACAGTATAAATGCAATGCACATAAATTGCAAACTGAAATTACAGATCTTGCAAAGGTGCAAGATTTTGTGAAGTTGATGAAAATAATATTAGAAAGCAGCTTGATTCTTCCACAGAACCATTAGCAGATGACCATTTAGTGGAATTAAATCATTTAATAAGTGGAGAAAATTGACAAGGATAATGATGTGGCATTACAGTAAAAATGATGTGATTAATCATAGCTCACTCTCATCTATTGGGGTTGGGTGGGGAACCTGATGCATGATCAGTGATCAGTGTCAGCTGTGTGCATAGTAGGCCCACATTGACGTAAACATCCAGCTAGAATCCTCTTAGGTGCCTCTAAAGGGTATAGCAAGAAGTCATCACAGCCAGCATACCCAGCAGAACCACCAGCAGTGAATGCTGTTCTAAGCACTTCACATGCTTAGCTTATTTAATCCTCATGACAACCTATCATCCTCATTTTGCAGATGAGGAAACTGAGGTGCATACATATAGAAAAAAGCTAGGTGATTTATTGAAGACCACATAAGGAGCCAGAGTGTGAACCCAGATAGTTCCAAAAGGATTTGTGTGCTTTCCATCAGTATGATAGCAAAGGATTGAGAGAGGGTCCTTGGGGAACTATATGAAACGCTGAAATACTTTTGCAAAAATCAACTCTTTCTGAACACACTGCAAAAAGTCAATAATTTGACATGAAGAATGTGGTATTATGCTATCAAAAATTTTGTTGTACGAATTATACCAAAGAGAATAATCCCAGTACTTGATTTCCTCTCTGTTCACTCTGATACGTGGTGCAGTGCTGTCCAGCAGTGTTCAGCAGTGGCGGGCGTGTGCTGTATCTCCGTCGTCCAGCATGGTAACCACTGGCCACTGGTGTCTTGACCCCTTGAAATGTGGCCAGTATGACTAGGAACTGAATATTTAATTTGATTTAATTCTAGTTAATTTAAATGTATGTAGTCACATGTGGCGTGTGGTGCTCTGTTGGTGACAGTGTGTGGTTGTGATCCAGACCTAAAGATGATTGAGTATAAAAGAAGTGTGTTTTGTCATTGGAATCCCATTTTTCTTTTTCTTTTTCTTTTTTTTTTTTTTTTGAGATGGAGTTTCGCTCTGTCGCCCAGGCTGGAGTGCAGTGGTACAATGTCGGCTCACTGCAACCTCTGCCTCCTGGGTTCAAGCAATTCTCATGCCCCGGCCTCCTGGGTAGCTGGAATTACAGGCACCCACCACCATGCCTGGCTAATTTTTGTATTTTTAGTAGAAATGAGGTTTCACCATGTTGCCCAGGCTGGTCTTGAACTCCTGACCTCAGGTGATCCACCTGCCTTGGCCTCCCAAAGTGCTGGGATTATAGGCATGAGCCACTGTGCCTGGCTGAAATCTCATTTTTCAAGATGAAGTTTTCAAGCAGACCTTTTCAGCACTATTAATTGAGAGGCTTTGGTCCCCATTTTAAGTGCATTTGTTTTACTTAATTATTTTTTAGTACCAATGATACTTGAATATATTGATTAGTACTGTTCCTATTGTTTATTTCTACCCATTTCTAGACTGGATTAGCACCAGCTTAGAGTGAAAGGTATAGACTCAGCAAATTCCAAACCAGGATTGCCCCATAGACTCCTGAAGTTATGCTGTGTGGGTCTGTATCCCAGATAGTTAAAACAAGGGTCAAAGAGTCCAATACAAGATGGGTGAACAGTGATACCAGCACCCCCAGGCAAAAGGCTGTGGCTACCCCTGAGCACACACAACTGTTTTGGGTGTCCCGATAGACAAGGCTAAGAAAGAAATAAGTATGAACTCCTTTAAAGTAGAAAAACTTAAATAATCGCATGTGTACTTTTACATTCTGTTATCTGTCATTACAGGTAATGCTGAAAGCCATCCCTTCTTTCTTGAACTCTTTCAATAGATTGGTGTTTTCAGTTATGCGCGAAGGGCGGCAGAAAGACAAAGGTAATTTGGAGTAACATCAGATATAGTTTCAAATGTATTTATCATGGGGTTTTGCTGCGAGCCACATGTTACTGAAAATAAAACTACTCAGTTGTGTTTAAATAAGAGAAACATTGATATCAAATGAATACTCAAAATAATTTCTATGTTTAAATTTCAAATGGTTACATTTTATCCTATGTAAAACAGTAGATGAATCAGGCATCTCCTTATTCACATAGTTCCTTTTCTGGGGGGAAAAAAATCAGATTTAGGAAATAGTTACTGAGCATGTATATCATATAAAGGGGATATAAAAATGACCACAACCCCATTCCTGCCCTTAAGAAGCTTATAGTTCAAAAGGGAGATGAAGAGGAACAGGCAAGTATAGAGCAATCTCATAAAAGGGATAAGGTCCCTCCGCCACTGTTCAGCCTCAGCTTGGCAAGGGTGTGTTTGTTTACTAGGGAAATACAAACTGCCATATGGCAATAGCATTATAATATATTATGTGTACAATTCATTTTTCAGCTTTGAAGTTTGTAGATTCCAGCTGAATTTCTAATTTGAGGGAGATTTTCATTATTTTAAAAATTGCTGGCTGGGTGCCGTGGCTCATGCCTGTCATCCCAGCACATTGGGAGGCTGAGGTGGGTGGATTACCTGAGGTCAGGAGTTCAAACCTAGCCTGGCCAACATGGTGAAACCCCATCTCTCCTAAAAGTAACAAAAGTTAGCCAGGTGTGGTGGTGGACACCTGTAATCCCAGCTACTTGGGTGGTTGAAGCAGGAGAATCACTTGAGCTTGGGAGGTGGAGATTGCAGTGAGCCAAGATCACAGCATTACACTCCAAGCTTGGGCAACAGAGTGAGACTCTATCTCCAGGAAAAAAAAATTGCATTTATTTCTATTTTATTTTGCAGTATTTTGAAATTGCATAGCATGTACCAGCTATGTATTTACTGTCTAATGTGCTAAGCAGTAGGTTAGGGTGTCAGCTCAGATGTTCTGGGACCATAACTCAACTTTGATGGTGTCAGAAGTCCCTGTGACAGTAGTTCTGGACTAACTCAGAAATCCATGAGTGGTGCTCAACTTCTCTCCTACCATTGTGATTCAGTTTTGTAGACTTAAGCAATAGCCCTTTAACCAGACAACTTTTTTTTTTTTTTTTTTTTTTGAGTCGGAGTTTCGCTCTTGTGGTCCAGGCTGGAGTGCAGTGGCGCAATCTCGGCTCACCGCAACCTCCGCCTCTCAGGTTCAGGCAATTCTCCTGCCTCAGCCTCCTGAGTAGGTGGGACTACAGGCACGCGCCACCATGCCCAGCTAATTTTTTGTATTTTTAGTAGAGACGGGGTTTCACCATTTTGACCAGGATGGTCTCGATCTCTTGACCTCGTGATCCACCCGCCTCGGCCTCCCAAAGTGCTGGGATTACAGGCGTGAGCCACCGCGCCCGGCCCAGACAACTTTTGAGAAAAGGGGAAGGGCATCGTTAACGCTAGGCTTCAATTCCTCTGCCTGGTTTTGGGATCAGTCAGTGGCACAGTTAGGTATTTTGCTTCTTCCTTTGTCTGGTGCAGAGCATGTCAGCTTAATACTGTGAATCGATTTAGCAGCAGCCTTAATAAACAAGTTTCCCCTCCCGTGGCAGCCTCAGCCAGTTGGTGGTGGCTGTGTCAAGGCCTGTGTCAAGTTCTGTGTCAAGGCCTCTCCAGTCATGTCTGAGCTCAGCAAGAAAGAACCCCTGTTCTTGCAGTCATGTCTGCCTGGACCGAAGGCCAGGGCCTTGCTCAGCAGGGGTGGAGCACAGCTTGGTCACACTGCCACAGTCGTGTCCTTTGTCATGTATTTGAGGAAGCGCAGGAGCACATCACACTTCTGGGACTCTGTGCAGTGTTCATGTGAGTGTGGCTTCATCATACTATCTGCTAAGACCTGGTTCTTAGATGTATTCGTGGCTTAACTGAGTAGAATTTTAACTTTTATTCTCTCTTTTATTGGTATCCAATGTGCTCTTTTTAATGAGCACACATTAAATTGGTGGCTGACATGACAAGTGCCATGTATTCGTGTTGCAAATAGCATGTATGTGTTGAACAGTCTGAAAAGAGAACAGTTGATGTGAGATATTAAAACATATCACCAGAGTATATTGTCTGTTGAAATACTACATGAAGTGCTACATGAATGGTAACAGTTGACATAATTTTATACAATTACATTGATCTAGAAAAATTGCATCCATAAAAAATGTCTGGATGCTTATTCAGGGTCTTTAAAAATGGTATGCATTCTAAAAATCATCTTTATTGAGTTATGTACAATGTATGCATAACAAATTGCATCTGTTCAAAGTATGCAACTTAATGGGTTTTATGTATGTTTTATGTATGAAACCATCCCCACAATCAAAATGTAGAATATATTCCATCAGCCTCAAAAGATTCATCTTGCTTCTTTGTACTTTTGTTTCCACTCTGGTCCCAGCACCAGTCAGCCATCTGCTTTTTGTTATTATGGATTCATTTGTGTTTTCTGGAGTTTTATAAAAACCTGCCTACTAGGCTGGGCGTGGTGGCTCATGCCTATAATCCTGGCACTTTGGGTGGCCAAGACAGGGAGATCATGAGGTCAGGAGTTCGAGACCAGCCTGGGCCAACATGGTGAAACCCTGTCTCTACTAAAAATACAAAAAAAAAAAAAAAAAAAAAAAAAAAATGAGGTGGGCATGGTGGCACGCATCTGTAATCCCAGTTAGGAGGCTGAAGCAGGAGAATCGCTTGAACCTGGAAGGCGGTGGTTACGAAGAGCTGAGATTGCACCATTGCACTCCAGCCTGGGCAACAAGAGCGAAACTCTGTCTCAAAAAAATAATAAATAAATAAATAAAACTATGCCTACCATTATGCTGAATGATGGCAGAGAGAACTTCCCCATGGGCTGTAACTCAAGCTGTGGAGGCACACATGCAATTAGGATTCCTGGGAGGAGTTTGTTAAGAATCCCTGGATGATCCTGACACCATATGGTGGGAAGAACTAGGAATCAGAAGTAAATCTAAGAAGACAGATAAATGTCTGCTAATGATAATTGAGTCCTATATCTGTCCACCTATAAAAGACACATACAGAAACAATTTCTGAAACTTAAGGAGGCAAAGACATGATTCAGGGTATCTCATTTTTTAAATCATGATGTCGGTAAATGATTTTCTCCCCTTAGGATAATTTTCAATTTTTTTCCAGTTTATGCCATTCTCGTAGAACTCAATCTTCTTTTTTTAGTAATCCTAGATTATCTCTTAAAAATATTGATTGCTATTCTGGTTAGACTCTTAAAAACACCCACACACTCTTGAGTTTTTTAAGTGTCCATCCCTTTGTTGTGTAGATAACTGTTTGAACATATCTGTTCTCCCTTATTCTGTTTGCAAAATAAGCCAATTAAAGAGTCTGGGAAAACATGTAACACTTGAGATAATTTTCACCCATATTAAAAGTATAACATAGAAGAGTTAAAATGTGCTGTTTTTGAACTAATTGGTTGGGGAACACTTTGCTGTCTGTAGGAAGCACAGATGACCTGCCCATGGTCCTGAAGTGTGCACGCCTGGTTGAAAGGATGTACAGCCACATTGCCGCACAAGCTGAGGAGTTCACTGTGTTTTCCCCATTTATGGTGGCCCAGTACGTGTCGGAGGTACAGAAGGTAAAATTGGGTTCGATGTCTTTCACCAAGTGCTTCTGTTTATGGTTCTTAAGCAGGGTTTCTCAACCAAAATGGCAAGCAATGTTGTGGGTATGACAGTTCTCTGTTGCTGTGTGCATGTTTTAGACAGGGTTTTGCTTCCCCATTCAGGCTGGAGTGCAGTAATGCGATGATAGCATCCTATAGCTTCGAACTCCTGGGCTCAAATGATCCTCCCACCTCAGCCTTCCAAGTAGCTAGGACTACAGGCACATACTACCACATCCTGCTAATTTTTAAATTTTTGTAGAGATGAGGTCTTGCTATGTTGTGCAGGCTGGTCTCAAACTCCTGGCCTCAGGCATTCCTCCTTCCTTAGCCTCCCCAGTCTCTGGAGTCCTATTTCAAGGTATTTAGCAGCCTTTCTACAGGGTTTTTTTAAGGACCAAATGAAATGACATACAGAAGGCTCAGCAGTGCCTTGTATACAGAAAAGGCTTGATTATCTGTCTTGCTCCAGTGCAAACCTTGGGGTCTATTTTGATTAGTTTTTTTGTGTCATATAAAAGGAAAGGAAATGTTACCCAGATCCAAGAACAGGAGCTCTCATAGGACCAAGCTTAATGGAGACTAGAAAGAGCGTTTCTACCAGGGAGGTTGCAGTGAGCTGAGATCATGCCACTGCGCTCCAGCCTGGCAACAGAGCAAGAGTTTGTCTCAAAAAAAAAAAAAAAAAAAGAAAGAAAGATAAAAAAGAGGGATTCTAGATCTCAGGGTTCTGGGGTCCCCTCAACTGCAAGAGAGTTCATGTATCTTTACTCGGGGGGTGTGTCATTCATGTGACTCAGCTGCTTTCAGATACTGAAAGTAGATGACAAGGTGGAGATACAGGTAGTTGTTTAGATAGATTAAGGAAAAATATATTTGTCCAAATTAATCTGACTTTTTGATTCAATGTTCTGGATAATTCATTATTCATCAGTTACCTCTTTTTTTTTTTCGAGATGGGGTTTTGCTCTTTCACCCAGGCCAGAGTGAAGTGGCATGATCTTGGCTCACTGCAACCTCCGTCCTTTGGGTTCAAGCAATTCTTCTGCCTCAGCCTCCTGAGGAGCTGGGATTATAGGCACCCACCACCATACCTGGCTGATTTTTGTATTTTTAGTAGAGACAGGGTTTTGCCATGTTGGCCAGGCTGGTCTTGAACTCCTGGCCTCAGGTAATCCACCTGCCTTGGTTTCCCAAAGTGCCAGGATTACAGGTATGAGCCACCTTACCCGGCCATTCAACAGTTATCTTACATTGAAATGTCATTGTGCTATTTTCAAAATTCCACAGGACCCTGTGTGAGCCATAGTAAGTTCACTATAGAACTTTGTAAATCTAGGCTGTATAAATCTTGGTTTAAATTGTTTGTGACAGGCTTGAGCAAAGTATGGTGTATTCTTCTGTCTGTCTTCTGTATGTATTGATATACATTTACATTGTGTTCGATCTGTCTATAAAATATCCAGTTCCCCTTTGTAAATCTTGTAAGAACAGTAGTAAAATCACAAGTAAACTTGTTAGGGTAGAGGTGTCAGCATTTCTCCAGGGAAGTTGGGCTGAAAACCTGGAGCTGCATCAGTTTTCATCCCTGCTCCTGTTTTAGGTAAATCTAGAATACTAAATAATTTCTGCCCCGTTGGCCTTGCTCACCTGGGTAGGCAGCAGTGCCTGTCCTGTGGGTGGGGAGGTGGGGACAGCCTGGCCATGTAAAAGTGCTGGGCTGTGTGGGGCCCACACCTGGTAAGAGCCGTGGATCTTGAGAGCACCTCTTCCACTTGTCCTGTGACCAAGATGTGGGCTTGTAGTTTGATTTCCTTGCAGTTATTTAGCCTTTTTATGGAATCTTGGTATTTCCCAAGCATATCAGTCATTAATATGTAAGCTTTTGATGAAAGAAAAGCTGGCATTATTTTCTGTGTTACTGAATAATAAAATGAGACATAGTCATATCACTTCACTAAGGTCCAAGAAGAGAAGCAGTAATTTGAACCCTTAAGTCACTAATTGTTATTCTGAGATTCACTTTATGAAAAGTCCCTGGCTTCCTGGCCTCATTGTTCATGTGTAATTTATGCTCATCAGTTATATTTTTATTTTTAATCTTGAAAGCCAAAGGCCTTGGGAATTATCTAGGGCCATAGCCTCCCAGAGTCCACTGGCACCACGGTCTGTGTTTTATCTTTCATTTGTTTTTAAATTCAGTAATGAAGAAAATATTCCATATCCATTAGAGGCTTCTGCTGAGAGAGCCATAAATCTTTCTAGACCAGCGTGTTGAAGTTTAATTAAATGCTAGATGTAATGCTAAGTAGATCTTCTTTGCATTTTCCTTGTACTTCTGCAGAGTTGAGTATTGCTGGTGGGACCTGTCAGTAGTCAGGGTAAGATGACCTGGTGAGATGTGTTAGTCAAGGGAAGGGGCAGCTGCAGAGGCCTGCTCGTCTTCTTTCCTCCAAGGAGTAATGGGTCCCTGTGGAAACATGCAGGAAATTGTGGTTACCTTTGTCTTCTTTTTTGCCCCTAGACCAAATTTACAATGTCCTCTGCAGATGCTCCTCGACTTAGGATGGGCTGTGTCCTGATAAAACCATACTATGTTCAAAATATCATAAGTTGAAATGCATTCAGTACTTGATAAACCCATTGTAAAAGTGAAAAAATCATAGGCTGAACCATGATTAAGTCCAGATATTCCTTGACTTAATGATGCAGTTATATCTGGATAAATCCATTGTAAATTCAAAAAATGTTAAGTCGAAAAGTGTTAAGTTGAACTGTCTTAAGTCAGGGACAATTTGTATATTGATAGCTTGGAATAAATATTTTGTGCTGCTTATTCTAAGATTTTTTTAAAGCTACTTAGTGGTGTTTTCATTTGTTGGCCAATGATCTTAATGTTGTAAAAATTGACTTTTTTTCTCATTTTAGAAATAAGTAATCTGAAACCTAAAGGTTTAAAGTGGTTGTATTGTCTGAAACCTTCTGGCCTTCCTTCCTACCCCCAGAGCTTTTGCTGGAGGCTGACTGGCTGCGTTTTCACTACTGAGATACTATGTGAAGCAGTAGTCCAAAGCATGGGCCCTGGGCTCAGACTGCCTAGGTTCAAGTCTCAGTGCTGCCAGTTATTAGCTGTGTGACCTTGGGGTGGTCACTGAGCCTCATTTTTTAACCTTTGGAAGTAGAATTACTTATTTAGCAAGCGATAATTAAATGAATGAACAGGTAGTCCACTTACTAAGCCCTCACCCTGCTATATGGTCAAGGACTTTGTATTTTTGTCTGTTTTTTGTTTTGTTTTTTTTTTTTTTTTTTCTTTCCCTCCCAATTACCTTGCTGTAAAATTCACAGACATTCCATTCTGTCTTCGGTCCTTGAATGTTCCTATCATCTATAAAATGGTAAAATTTAAGATGATCACTTGTCAGAAATTTCTGAACTGTCACATGAAAAGAATCATAACTTTGAAGAATAGCATCATCTTAAAGACAGAAACAAATTGCCTCTTTAGGAATGTACTTCCCAGTGGTTGCCTTTGTGAATCACTTCTTCTGGTTAATAAATATGTCCTCATTAGAAACTGTTTGCAGAGAGGCATTAACTCTTTCAGGTTATCAGGGTAGCGATAAATGAAGATCAGCCAAATTTCAGGCCTGCCTGCGTTACTTTACCACTGCTTTGGTTTTTTTCTACTTTTTAGAAGTAATGGTAAAATACATATAGTATAAGGTGAATTTTACCAGCTTAACTGTTTTATATGTGCACTTCAGTAGTATTACATACATTCTAATATTGTGCAGCCGTCACCACCATCTGTTCCCAGAACTCTTCATTACGACTGCATTTTAGTTTCAGTTACCAGGGTTTCAAACTCTGTTCAGCCCACATTTAGTTGAAACCTGAATGGATGTGGTAAGCGCAGGGAGAACCTGCTCCCCCAGCCGTTTTGGTTGTTTTGATATTAGTCTGAGTCTCTTCTCTGGAAGTTTGGGTGGAGCATCAGATATAGCCAGGTTGGAGATGGCTGCCACCCCCACTCCTGTGCTCCAGATTTTAGTTAACCCTGAACTTCAGGGAGAAGGGCAGCTTTAGGCACGAGGACCAGTTCAGCCATTCCAGGGCTGTTAGAAATTAAGTGCATATTGTGCTTTCTTGACAAAAATAAAGAATCTATTAACTGGCAATCATGAATCATTTCTGCTCTTGGGTGATATGATGTGATCTAATTACTAGTGTAGACTTAGCAAGCGGTCTGTTTTGGTAGTGTTAGGACCTGCCTGCTGCCTTGCTCTGGGGTGAGATGGGGTCATAGTCTTACAGTGAACGTTGTTGTCATTGTCCCACAGGGTTGGCGTAGTTTTCGTGGTGATTGACAGTGCAGAGGAATTTGATACAATGGGCAGGCAGCTTATCTTCTTAGAAGGTTTTTAAATGTAAAGACTCCAGCTTTTTAAAATGCCCCTGGTAAACACATAAGCATCATTTACTACATAGCAAAGCCGCCCTTGTGCTTTCATGGAGTTTTATTCCAGGTTTGTGTTTGCTTGAGTTAGCTTCTATTTCCCCAAAATACAAACTTTAAAAATATGTGTGTTTAAATATTTGACTTAGCAACAAAATTATATTTTTAAAGTGAATGTCAATCTTTTCTCAAGTTGGAGACCAGTTTGAAATTACTTGTCAGTGCTTCCCAAGACATTGTCGGCAAGAGGTGGGGCTTGATCTCTGCCCCGAGTTGTTCTCACAGAGGTTTGCCTTTTCCCCAGGTGACCTTATATCCAGCGGTGAAAAGTCTGCTGCAGGAGGGCATTTACCTTATCCTGGACCTCTGCATCGAGCCTGACGTCCAGTTCCTGCGGGCCTCGCTGCAGCCGGGAGTGAGAGACGTCTTTAAGGAACTCTATAATGACTATCTCAAGTACCACAAGGCCAAACATGAAGGAGAGAAAAGATATACCGCCTAAGGCCATGGGACAGGAGTGCCGCCAGGGATATTGTTCCGAGTGAGGCTTTGTTTGGCCTTGTGGTCTGAAAGAGCTGGAGAATGAAAGACTTAAGATGTTCTAATTTGTAATATTGGTATGCATGGAAAATCCTTTGGGGTTTATGTGGTATATTTTGATGTATTTTATATCATGTTTTTCTTACTATTTTTTAATACATAGTTTTATACAGTAAGTATTACAGTAGAATCATGAAAATAGACCCTGGAATGAGATTAATTCAATAGAAAAATATCTTACTCTCAGGACCTTTCTGTGTTTGGTTCTAGTCTTGGCTCAGTAGTTTGGTGTTCCTAGTCCACACTAGGAACTATGTAAAACTTGGCTTTTTACTTTGGGTACATGGGTCTGTAATTCATCCCTGTTTAAATATCTTTGCCTTTCAAATTCTTCAAGTCACATGGGACGTATTCTTGAAATGCCACTTTTTCTGCCTTCCCTCTAAGTATGCTTTCTGAAGAAGCTGGGGGGAGTTAAGAGTCTGTGGCCTGAGCTGTCTGTTCTGGGCAGGGATAGCGGGCACCTCAGGCAGGTGGGCGATCTTTAGCACGGGTGCCGGGGTCTTGCCTGTTCCTCCTGTGTTAGCCCTGGGAAGTTCATTTAGGAATTTTTTTTTTTTTTTCCTATTCAGTTTAAGAAATAATCCTAATGGTTTTTCCTTATTACCTAAGCAGTATATTTTTACTATAGCAACCTCAGAAAAGAAAAATAAAGGCATAATTTAAAAAATGCACTCATAGTCTCAGTTTCCCAGACCACCTCTGTTGTCACCTTGGAGTGTCTTGTTTTAGTCCTTTTACTATGTGTATGTATATAGCTGTACATAGAAATAAATAAATTTTAGCTAAATTGGTTCATAAATGCATTTTTTTAAAGTCACCTTTTTTCCTGTGTAATATTTAAGTAACTTTGGGTCAGTGAAAACATTTGACATGTATTTTTTATTGGATTCATAGTAGTCCATTGAGTAGATAATATTGTTTTATTTAATAAGTACCCCATGGTTAGACATAGGTATCTTTCCAAATTCCCTTTTATAGGCGGTGCCTGCAGCTGAACTATTTCCAGAAGATGAATTCTCATGAGTTGTATCATTTGTCAAAACAACCACATAATTTTTAAAGGATTTATATAAATATTGCCAAATTACCCCCTAGAATGTGTACTAATTTATTTTCCCACCAATGAGTCAACTTTAATATTATTGAGTTTTGTTTGTTTATTTGTGCCTCCTTGATAGGAGAGAGATATTTTGTTTTGGATTTCTTTAATTACTAAGAGATTATACATTTTTCATATTCACCATTTTTATTTCTTATGTAAATTATGTTTATATAATTATCTTCTGTAATAGCACATTTCTCAATTGGAATATTTACTATTTTTCTTCTTCCCTATCTTTGTGGGATTCATGTTGGAATTCCCTTCTTAATTAGTCAAAAATGTAGACTTTTAAAGTTATTTGAAGGATCATCCTTAAGCAAAGCCTTTTTTTTTAATACTACATTTTCAAGCAGATGTGATTGGAGCAGACAATATAAAATGAATGTTTTTGATACCTAAGAGAAATCACCTGTGTTTGAAGCCTCGCATTTGATTTTATTTCCTGTGCTGTCTTGTGGGGGCTGCGGGACAGTCCTGCCTTACGCACTGTGCATTTCATCTGTTCCCTTCCCTTCCTCATCTAGACTGTGCGTGCGGACCCAGAAATGGGTTCGGCTGGTCTGGCATCCTTTCACTTAATGCTTTGTGTTGACAGAGTTTTGTTTCTGTGGTTAAACTCCCTGCAGGGGCCTCCCTAAGAGAGGCCAATGGTGCTATTTCTTGTTCACAATTAGAGATGGGTGTTGGTGTAAGCGGGTGACCTTTCAAGGACAGGAGCTGTAAACAAGCAGGAGCTAAAATCAAGGTCTTAGGTTTGCCTCTGCTTCAAGTGCCCAAACCGGAAGCTCACTGTCCCTGAGGCCCTCAGGGAGCTCTGGCTAGTTTTTCTTGTGCTGGAAGCTGCCTTGGGAATGCTGGGGGAGCTGACAAACCTGGAGCAGTTCCTCAGGCGTCCTGGTGGTGGCACTGCAGGGCCTTTAGAAGGGAGTTGGCAACTGGCTGCCAGGCAGTCAGCCTTGAAGGAAGGAAAGGAGGAAGAGAAGACTGGGACTCCGTGTCCTCCCTGCACAGCTCTGAAGGGCTCTCTGCTGTGTTCCCATTTCTGGGGAAGCGGTCACAGGTTCCTCACAATCATTTCTGTTTGAACTCTAAAGGCTCCTCAGCAAAGAATTTGTTTTAACTCCATTTCGCTGATTCATAGAGTAGAAGAAACATTTTTCTGACTGGCAAATATGGAGGCTCTGTTGTTCATTTTTATCTCATTAGAATAGCCTGCACAGGCAAAGAGATTTGGCCCAGCCAGCTCTCCACATGTCAGGGCTGGGGACTCAGCTGGGGGGATGGCGAAATGCTGGGCTTCAGAGAGCCTGTCCCCCTGAGACTTGCTGTGACTCCAGACCCCTCGTCCCCTGACAGAGATGCATGAATCATCTCTCTGTACCAGGCATGGAGACATGGCCCTAGTCCTCAGGGAGCTTTCTTGCAGGGGACATTGCCAACAAGCCAGGAAACAAATAGGCCAGAGGATGGTCATGGGGTTGGCAGCAAAGCAGACAAGTTCGGCAGCTGGAGAAAGGTGGTATTCGAGCTGAGACGTGCCTGGACAGTGAGAGGTGCCCCTGGAAGGGCCTGGGGTGCTGATCCTTAATGCCTGCCCTGAATCCACGTGGCAGCCGGGTTTTCGCTGACAGCAGACACCTGAAGGGAGGGGTAGGTGTAAGAGGACTCGGATGAGAGAAGGCTCAGTGGGGTGACTTTGCCTGGGATGTTGCCTTGGGTGGTCCTGGACAGTAGTACATCAGGGGGCCCCCAACAGGGCACAGACAACATACAGCCGCTTCCCGACCTTGCCCTTGACCGCTGCTTGGGGACCACAGTGGGCGGGTCTCCTTCCCAGCCTTGGCTTCTGTAGTTCCCAGACTCGGCCTCCTGCAGTAGCTGTGGAAACTACCCAATGTTAGGCTCCAGAAAAGACTGCAGGGAGGGGCTGTGTACTTGAAGGGATTTGAGTGGAGTTGGTTTTTTTTCCTGGTTTCTCTTTTTTATTTTTCTTTGGAGACAGGGTCTCGCTCTATTGCCTAGGCTGGAGTGCAGTGGTGCAATCCTAGCTCACTGCAGCCTCTAAGTCCTGGGCTCAAGCAATCTTCTTGCTTCAGCTTCCCGAGTAGTTGGGACTAGAGATGCACACCACCACAACCAGCTAATTTTGAAGTTTTTAGTAGAGACAGTGTCACTGTGTTGCCCAGGCTGGTCTGGGACTCTGGCCTCCAGCAGTCCTCCCTTCCTTGGTCTCCCAAAGTGCTGGGATTACAGGTGTTCGCGACCGCACCCGGCCCTGGTTTCTCATAACTCATCGAGGTTACTTTGAGGTATTGCCAGTGTGCCAGGCTATAGCCTAAATTCTTTTGTCTAATAAGCGCACACATTTCTGCTTTATGTCTCATAAAAGCCACTGAGAGGCAGCAGCGGCGTCATTTTTGATTCCTCATTCCCTTGTGCAACTTCTCAACGCTCTCCTTTTTTTCATTTTACTTTGTCATTTACCTTTTCCAGCTCTTCAGCAGACAAGTTCAGTGGCTGGAGGGAGACGTGATATTCATCCTTTCCCCTTAGCCTGTATGTCTCTCGTGTCTCTCTCTTTTTTTTTTTTTTTTTTGTTTTGAGATGAAGTCTTGCTCTGTTGCCCAGGCTGGACTGCAATGGTACAATCTCAGCTCACTGCAACCTCCACCTCCTGGATTCAAGCGATTCTCCTGCCTCAGCCTCCTGAATAGCTGGGATTACAGGCGCCCACCACCGTACCCAGATAATTTTTGTATTTTTAGTAGACATGGGGTTTCACCATCTTGGCCAGGCTGGTCGCAAACTGCTGACCTCGTGAGCTGCCTGCCTCAACCTCAGTGCTGGGATTACAGGCGTGAGCCACCATGCCCAGCCATCTCTCATGTCTCTCTAATGGACATTACTTTTGTTGCCCTGTGCCCTCTTGTCCCCATGTCCTTCCGACACCATTTTGCCATCCCCATTCACCGGCTTCTCTGCGCTCTCTCCCTGGCGTGTCTGGGCCACCCATCCTAATCACTCCTACTTGCTAGTGACCTCACTTCTTCTCTCTTGTTTCCTGCTGACATTTTTTGTAGCCTCATGTCCACAATGGGGACTCTTGTGAAACGTCCTGGCCCCACGTTCCCAGGACTGCCACCCCTGCCCATCTGCTGTCACTGATGTGAGAACTCACACTTGAGCCTCCTTGTTGGACTCTTCCTGGCTTCCCTTGCTCCAAGGAACACTCCTTTCCCTACTATTTTTTTAAGAGATGGGGCCTCACTCTGTCACCCAGGCTGGAGTACAGTGGTGTGATCCTACCTCACTGTAGCCTCCAACTCGTGGGTTGAAGTGCTCCTCTCGCCTCAGCCTCCCAAGTAGCTAGGACTACAGATGCATGACACCACACCTGGCTAATCTTTTAGCTAGAGATAGGGTCTTGCTGTGTTGCCCAGGCTGGAATTGAACTCCTGGGCTGAAGTGATCCTCTTGCCTCAGCCTCCCAAAGTCCTGGGATTATGTGAGCCACCATGCCTGGCCCAATGAGCCTATTCGTAATGTCCTTTCTCTGGCTTGCCCTGTTGTCCCTCTACCACCATGACCACTGTGACTCACTGGCATCCCCAGGTCTGGTACCTCCTTCCTTGGCTTTGGAGTCCCCTGATTGTTCTGCCCGACCCTCAATTCCACAGCCAGCTCTGCTGTGGGAGAAAGGAATGGAGTCATGGGGATTGGTTCCCCACACAATCCTGTTCTCTCTCTTCTGCTGGGTCCACCTATTGGGAGGAGAATCTCTGTTTTCATTAGAAGGAGAAGCATCGATGAGGCAGCATAGCTTTGGGATGTTATGAGCTTGTGGAGACTGGATTGTTATAATGGTTTTAATGTGAAGTTCTGGTTGATCATAGAACATAAATGTTGTGGATGAGAGGAAGGAAGAGGTTTGTGAAATGCTCCATAATGAACACAGCTAGTAGCGGGAGTGGTTTCTCATTACAAAGGAGGACTGAAGGGATGTGACTCAGTAGAAATGGGCACAGACCAGGCTCAACAATGGTGAGAGTGTGCTGAGGCCTGGGACAAGAAGCACACTCAGAAAAATGAGGCCATGAGAAATCCCAGCAGCAATGCCTGGCTGGATGCCAAAGTGGTGATAAAGAAGCACCCACAGGAGTCACAAATCAGTGCACCTTCCCGTACCTTAAGGTCATGCTGGAGGGCATGGCCAGCGCTTCCCACCTGTGGCCATTTCAAAGACTGAGAATGGCTGTTCTTGTGGGGACAACTGTGGGTGCTGGTGACATCCAGCGTCTGGTATTCTCTGACTTGGCATGCAGCCTCCACTGGTATTTTCTCTAAGCCCTCTTTGAGCTTTATTACAGATTAAATCAGGCACACAATCTCTTTTTCCATCTAACTATAGCCCTCTGTCTCGAATCTCTGCTGTCACTTTCCCTGCTGTTTATAGACACACACTGAATACTCTTAATTTATCTTGAATATCGGTCCTGTTATCCTACCACGTTTCCAGCAGCCTCTTCTCTTGACTACCCAACAATGACAAGGAGTCTACCTTTGCTCCTTGGTCATGCTTCCCATTGAAACTGCCCTCTGAAAGATGACTAGATCAACTTCAGCCACCCGGCTTCACGGATGTGTAGTAGGTCCTTGACCAACACTGGACACCCTTGGCTGGTCGGAGCCCCCGCTGG